ATGTATGTATGTATGTATGTATGTATGTATGTATGTATGTATGTATGTGTACTCAAGTGTGTAGGGTTAGGTTTAGGGTTAGGGTTAGAGGGTGAGTGTGAAAACCAGAGGACAACATAGACTGTCCTTCCCCAGGAGCCACCCACTCTGCTATTCATTTATTCATTTATTTATTTACTTTTGAGACAGCGTTTCTCAGTGGCCCTGGGCTCACGGATTACATTAGGTTGGTCTGGCCAACAAGCTTCAAGAACACATCTGTCTCTACCCTCACAGCTCTGGGATTACAATGCGCCATTGTGCCTAGCATGTTTCACACTCAGAAGGGAGTGAACTCAGAGCCTCAGCATTCAGCAAGCACTTTATCAAAGGAGCGACTTCCATCTAGCAAGCTCTGCTTTATTTTAAAATGTATCTTTTGAAAAAGCTGACATTGTATACATTTGCCTACACACACACACACACACACACACACACACAATACAATATGCAAAAAAGGGAAGCTATATGTAATTTGCAGGTGGATTGACGCTTACGATTTTGAGATTCTATTCAAAGCATTCTCTTTCAGAAGCGCTGAAAGCCACAATTGAGAAGTTTCATATTTACCTCAATCACACTTCTTATTCCTTTCTCTGCTTCAATATTGAGTATGGAAATGCTGTGGGGCTCATAAATCAAAGCACTTTCCACTCAGGGCCTCCGTCTCCTGCCTGCTGCCTCTGCGACCTCACAATTAGACTCCTGGTATTAAAATGCAGGCACACAGAGATTGTGATTTGGAAAGACTGTAGGTCATCAGTTGCCCTATCAGATGGGAACGGAATGAAAAGCCACTCTGGAAAATGACTTAAGGTTATAAAAAATTTACACTTTCAAATGTCTGCACTAATTAGCAGAAATATTTATTAGGTGCGTTGTCACTTTCAAGCAGGGTCTGAAATCCAAGTTTGCTGAGTGCCGCTCTACTAAGGATGAGGAACCAGATGGGTTTATAGCAGACTATGGTGTGTGGGTGTGTGTGTGTGTGTGTGTGTGTGTGTGTGTGTGTGTGTACATGAATACCAAGGCGGAGGACAATGTGTGAAGGTCAGTTCTCTCTTTCCACTATTTGTGGGTCCCAGGGATTGAACTCAGGTGGACAGGATGGACATCAGGTGTCTCTACCTGCTGAGCCATCTTACCAGCCCTTATCTATTTATTTACTTACTTACTTGTGAGACAGGAGTCATGTATCCCAGGCTGGCCTTTACAGCTTGCTTTATAGCTAAGGGTGATTTTGAGCTTCGTGTCTCCACCTCCCAGGTGCTAAGGGACTATCCACTGTATGCAGCAGCCGTAGGGAACACGACTTTTTGCACACGAGGTAAGCATTCAAGCATCTGACACCCACTCACTCCCCCAGTTCCTGCTACTGGATTTTTAGGTCACTACTTGCAGCAAACAAAACTAGCACGTTCAAGTTATTAGCCTTTAAAATATTAAAGTACCTTTTGAGACAGGGTCCTATGTGTCCCAGGTTGGCCTTGAATCCCATATGTAGCTGAGGATAACCCTGCACTTCAGATTCTGCTGTCTTTGCCCTCTGAGTGCTGGATGACAAGTGCACACAGTGTTCACAGTGCTACTAGGGAAGGGGATGAAACCCAGGGCTTCGTGAACACCAACTGTGCAGACTGCAGATGGAGCCACACCCACAACCCTAAACGACTTCCTTTAATTCTTAGTCCCCGGCTGGTTCTCTTCTCTGATTACTTGGCAAAGAAACCTCATTTATAAACTATTTTGCCAAGCATGCTACTTCTCTACTGTTACAACTGACTTTCACAGTATGCTGTGCCTCCTGTATCCCTTAACAAACTTCCATACCAATATGGCAGCTATGCCTCCTGCCCCTCCAAAGGGACTTTAATTTATAGCAAATTAATATTTGAACATCATATTTAGAGTCATGTCAACAAAAATGATGCAAAATTATAAATCTTTTGAAATAATTAAAAAAATGGTTACCGTATTTGTAATTTCTGAGGGGCGGTGGCAGGCTGGTCCTCAAAGGGACATCTGCAAGAGAAAATGATAAGTTTTATCATTACAAAATACTCCAACACGATGCAGAGTATTTCAGCTCTGCTCCAAGACCCGTGGTCAAGATTCTCTTTCCTTTCTCCTTCCCTTAAATAAGGTCTCATGTAGCCCAGTCTGTCCATCAGCTCCATGTGCAGCCAACAATGACCTTGAACTCTTGATTCTCCAGCCTTCACCTCTTGAGAGCTGGGACTACCCGTGTGTGTTACCATACCTGGTTTACACGGTGTTAGGATGGAACCCAAACACACTCCCAACTGAGCCACATCCCCCAATACAGGCTAAGCTAACCTGAACAATCAGACAAGACGAAGCTAAAGCACCATCAAGATCCAGGGGCTGTCAACTGTAACTAAACCCTCCCTCTCTGCTGAGCTGAGAAGTTCCTGACAGAATGGACCATTCCTGGGGCTGGGGAGAAGGCTCAGCCAGGAAAGTACCTGCTGCAGAAGGTACAGATCCAGACCCCCAGCATGCACAGGAAGTGCCAGACAACAGTGGCATGCTTGTGGGATCCCAGCACTGGGAGAAGGTGGAGCCAGGAGGACCCTTGGAGGCAAGCAGCCATCCCAGCCCAAGAAACAAGCTTCAGGTTCAGTGAGAGACCTTTCTCAAAAAAGGAAGGCAGAGAATGATCAAGGAAAGACATGGATCTCAGGCCTCCCCACGAACGTGTGCTCACCTAATGTGCATCTGAACACAGGTGCACACTCCCGTACCAACAAGCACACCTCTCTCTCTCTCTCTCTCTCTCTCTCTCTCTCTCTCTCTCTCTCTCTTACACACACACAGCCCACATACACAAGAGCTACTACTTTGTTAAATACAAGGCTATCTATGTACACTCAAAACATGGACTATCATGCAAATATGAGCTATTATTTTTATATCATTGATGTTTGCTTAGCACACGAATCAGAGGCACTTTTAAGGGATTTTGGTGGAAACCAGTGGCCCAGAGCGATATTACTCAGATACCATCTAAAATAAATATTCTAACTCAGCAGAGGTTATGCAATGATACAGAGTAGACACTCTTTTAAAAATAGATTCCAAATCCCAACTATTAACATTAACTATTAGCAGTTGATGGTACAGCACCCACAGAAGGCAATTTTTGGCATTTATCAAAATATGTAAGGACAGAGAGATGGCCAGGTAGGTCAAATGCAAACCTGATGGTCCCCAGAACCCACGGCGGGACGAAAAAGACTGACCTCTGACCTCCAAACACTGTGGCACACGTACATGTACATTTACACACACACACATCCGCATATATGCACACACACGTGTATGAGATTGCGCATACACACGTGTGTGAGATGACATGTGTACATGGGCGCCAAGTGAAACAATGTTCACAGTGGCAACCCTCTGGGAAAATCCAAATGTGTTAAATAGTCTAATCGGCACAATGAAACATTTTTCAAGTCTAAAAGAAAAGGAAGAGGCATTCTGTTAAGGTAAGACTTTCAAAGTATGTATGTCAAGGGCAAAGAGGTGTAAGAGGAACATCACTGTAGGAGACCACCTAAGCAACAGAGGGTAAAATCAGAGTATTTATTTTGGGGCCAACAAGATGGATCAGTGGATAGAGGTGCTTGCTGCACAAACCTGGTGACTTGAGTTCAAACCCAAGAACCCACATGAGCAGAAGGAGAGAAAGGACTCCACAAAATTGTCCTTCGATCTCCACATGTGCATCACGGACTGTGCACTCCCTCACACAAAATAATAAATGACTAATATAAGTACTTATGTTGCTATTTGCTTGTACCTGCATGGGAGTGCTCTGCTCAGATGGGGACACGGGAAGAGAATTTCCATTGTCTTCCAATAACAGGAATGCATTAGGTTAACAGGGAATTCTCTGCTGAGATAAGGAGAGCTGGAGATGTGGCTCAATGGTAGAGAACCTACTTGACATACAAGAGGCCCTGGGTTCAATCCTCAGCTCTGGGAAAAGGAAAACCAAAGAAAGCTTCACAAAGACACAAATAAAAGGCACAGAAAATGCACGTTAAACACATCTGCCCTTTGAAGGGCCAACAATACCCCAGTGAAAGTAGAATATGTTTATTTACAGTGTCTAAGAGCAGGGCACTGAGCAGTTACCAATACCCACTTATGACAGGTCCAGTGTTGAATCCTGCAGCAAGTCCTGGCCACAGCCGGGCCGAGATCTTCAGTGTCGCTCTCATTACAGCTGCATGTGAGATCCCCTAAGCCCAGCACAAATGGGTCAGGTGCACAGCAGACTGCTCCCTGTGTATGTGTACACTCTCTCCTCTCTCCCTCTCCCCACTTTCTCTGTGTACACAAATGTGTACATGTCCCTGTGTATACAGGTGCACAAGGCACATGGGCGTGCATGCATGTAGGAAAGGGTAGACATTGATGTCAACCACTGTGCTGGCTGGTTTTGTGTCAACTTGACACAAGCTGGCGTTATCACAGAGAAAGAAGTCTCCCTTGAGAAAATGCCTCCATGAGATCCAGCTGTAAGGCATTTTCTCAATTAGTGATCAAGGGTGGGAGGGTCCATTGTGGGTAGTTCCATCCCTAGGCTGGTAGTCTTGGGTTCTATAAGAAAGCAAGCTGAGCAAGCCAGGGGAAGAATCCAGTAAGTAACATCCCTCCGTGGCCTCTGCATCAGCTCCTGCTTCCTGAGCTGCTTGGGTTCCAATCCTGACTTCCTTTGGTGGTGAACAGCAACATGGAAGTATAAGCTGAAAAATCCTTTCCTCCCCAACTTGCTTCTTGATCATGATGTTTGTGCAGAATAGAAACCCTGACTAAGAACCATCTTCCTCAACTGCCACTTTGTTTTCTGAGACAGGGTCTGTCACTGAACTTGGAACTTGCTGACTCAGCTGGACTGGCTGCCAACCCTCAGGATTCCATCTCTGCCTCCCTGGCACTGGCACATGCCACAGTGCCAGCTTTTATTGAGGTGCGAGAGATCCAAGTTCAGGTCCTCACACTGGTACAGCACAGCTGAGCCACCTTTCATATTCCAGCAAGTTTACACACAGACAATGTAATCACTCTCCAGGTCCCAGTGATAATCTTCACAGAAACAGGGCCAATGCTAACATTCCTATGGGACCACAAAAGCCCCACAAATGGCTTTGCTGAGTAAAAGGAAAAGCACGGGAGGAATCACAATGCCTGTGTTCCAAAGAAACTAGAAAGCTATAGTAATACAATCAGGGTCTGGGCATGGAATTCAGTTAGTAGAAGCACACACATCCCTGCACTGCACAAACTGATCATGGTAATACATCTATACTCCTACTGCTTGGGAAGTTGAGGCAGGGGGATTAGAAATTTAAAGTCATCTTTGACTACATAGGAAAATTTGATTCCATCCTGGGATACATGAGATTCTGTCAAGATTTATTTTATTATTGTTAATTAGGTGTGTGTGTGTGTGTGTGTGTGTGTGTGTGTGTGTGTGTGTGTGTGTGGAGAGTATACATACATGACTGCAGGAGACTGCAGAGTCCTGGGGGTCAGGCTCCCTGGAACTGGAATTTTAGGCAGTGGTGAGCTGCCTGACATGAGTGCTGGGAACCAAACTTGTTTCCTCTGGAAGAACAAGACTCTTAGCCTCTGAGCTGTCTCTCCAGGCAAACAAAGCAACTTTACAAAACAATTAGTGTGCAGGTTTGGAGTAAAGGTGGTGGTCACGGACAGGAAGGGAGAAGGGGAGGGAGGGAATGCCTATACTGAATGCTTTACCACTGTGAGCCACTCATGTGCCCTAAGCCAGACGATGGACTCCTCGAAAGGGATCAGTGAAGAACCGTCTCTGCTGCTACTGTCCTGTGGAGATGCAGAGCCAGGAGCTAGGATGCACATGCCTTTCTTACATCTCAGCTCCACGGTCCTGTCCACTGACAATCCCACGGGCACTGGTTCTGTGGATGTTGCTATAGCCAGGCTGCTTTACCTAAAATGTCTCCATTTTCTGTTCATTCATTAGCCCTTGAAGATTAAGACACCAAGAACTGTCTTCTCAAGTTGCTGGGCAGTGCTCAGCACAAAAGGGAGGCCAGAGACCACAGCCTGCTTTTCTCACTGTGTCATTACAACCTAAAATTTGCCCTTGGTAGGCAGCAGGTATTCATAAACTCCCGCGAAGGAAGAAACACAGTCAAATCGCTTTGCCTGGCAGTTGTGAGCACCGAGGCTCCAAGAAGGTGAAGTCCCCGTAGCTGTGGCTGGGGTAGGCCTGAACATCTGGTTATACCAGAAATGAAATAGTTAACACGCATGCATGTGTGCACATGTGTACACATGACAAGAATATCAACTGAATGCCAAATGACAGAGCTACAACAATCCACTCAAGTTAATATAAATAGAAACTTAAATATAAATCAGTTTACTCTTGTGGAAGAATTCAATATAAATGATACAGGAGCCCCACCCTCAGGGACTGAAGGGTAACTCCTTGCTCTCTGACTGTAGACTGTGCACAGAAATAACTTCCAGACTATGGGCGCTGGGGGCTGGGCATGGGCTTAGTCGGTGGACTGCTTGCCTAACGTGAGTGAAGCCTTGGTTTGCCGTCCAGCCCTGCACAGACCAAAAGAAGTGGTCTAGGCCTATACTTTAAACCAGTCAAGGCAGGAGGATTAGATGGTCAAGGTCATTCAGTTACAGAGTCAGGTTGAGAACAGACAGGGGCAAGTGAAAATGTGTCACACACACACACACAGCGTGTGTGGGGGGGGGCAGAGGGAGGGAGGGAGGGGGAGAGCACATTTTACAGGGACAACACGTCACACTGCTTCGGGGTCCACACTAACAAGCACAGAGCACATGCAAAGCAGATGCCTTCACAGGATGTGAGGACAGTGACTGGCTCTCCGTGATCTTCCTCCCAAGAAGCCATAACCCCACAAGCACATAAAGACTACCCAGCCAACTGTAACCCAGTGGTCCTCAACCTTCCTAATGCTGTG